AGAAAATGATGAATGATAAAGCATTGGTCCGCCATCTTGCAGCCTGCGAAACTATGGGCTCGGCTACGACGATCTGCAGTGACAAGACAGGAACCTTGACAACCAATCACATGACTGTGGTGAAAGCTTGCATCTGTGGAAATATCAGTGAATTATCTAATCCAAGTGATGCTTCTAGTATCTTCTCTCAGCTTCCACAAAAGGTGTCTAATATCCTTATGCAGTCCATATTTAATAATACTGGAGGAGAAATCGTAACCAACCAACAAAGAAAGATAGAAATACTAGGAACACCAACTGAGACTGCTATATTGGAATTTGGCTTATCTCTAGGCGGTGATTTTATAGCAGAGCGTGAAGCAGTTAAGCTTATTAAAGTTGAACCTTTCAATTCAGCGAAAAAGAGAATGGGAGTAGTGATTCAACTTCCTCAAGGGGGATACAGAGCCCACTGTAAAGGTGCCTCTGAAATAGTTCTGGCTTCATGTGACAAGGTTTTAGATGCTGCAGGTAATGTTGTTCCCCTTGATGATGCAACAGCCAATCATCTCAGGGATACAATTGAAAGTTTTGCTAAAGAAGCTCTGAGGACACTTTGCCTAGCCTATATGGAGGTTGAAGATGATTTCTCAGCTAATCAACAAATCCCTTCTGATGGGTACACATGTATTGGAATTGTAGGCATTAAGGATCCTGTCAGACCCGGTGTCAAGGAGTCGGTGGCTGTTTGTCGATCCGCTGGAATTGCAGTGAGAATGGTTACCGGAGATAACATTAATACAGCAAAGGCTATTGCCCGAGAATGTGGTATTCTTACAGATGATGGCATAGCTATAGAGGGTCCAGAGTTTAGGGAAAAAAGTCTAGAACAAATGATGGAATTAATTCCAAGGATACAGGTCTCCTAGCTTTTAGATATTGTTTTACTGTTGCAATTGTGCATATAACTGGTTAGCGATTCTGAGCTGAATCTCTCTATTTAATAGGTGATGGCTAGATCTTCACCACTGGACAAACATACACTTGTGAGGCACCTGCGTACTTTGTTCAGTGAGGTCGTTGCTGTGACTGGTGATGGCACAAATGATGCTCCAGCGCTTCATGAGGCAGATATTGGACTTGCAATGGGAATTGCA